AAGAAAGGAAAACATAATTAAGCAGGTCATATAGCTTACCGAGGGAAAATGTTGGAACTTGGTGACGTAATTTCTTTATCTTAAGAGTTCCTTTTGAAGCTTAATTAAAAGCATGATCACAAAATTGGTAGATATCTTGTTTTCTACATATAGAGGGTCATTTATTTTCAAACGCACAACTCTTATAGATTTAAGACCAAAGGGTTCTGTGGATTCTTGGCCAGGTAACACTTACACTTGAGATGTGTAGAAATTACAAAATTAAGTACCTCTTTTGAAGATCCATAATCTTCTTTGACCGTTTCAGGGAATGAGACCTTTTCTTTATGCCCTTCACGATTTCTGCGGGACACTTGCTTTGCTTTTGAAGCCCTGATCCTATCAGGAAAAAAAATGGTGTGATCAGTTTATCTCACCGCCATACTGGAGAGTGGATAAGAATCAGAACGTTAGGAGTATATTGTGGATTTTAAAGAATGGGGAAGATAGTAGCCTGATATGTGGTACGCCAATAGGCATTACTAAACCACTTGAATTGCTTCAGATAGTACAAAGAACAAAAGAAAACTAACGACTTAAGCCACAGGTCAAGAAAGAATTTACTCCTATCCTTCCCCTCCATCTCAAGTTATCTTGAGTTATCATGGTGTTTTCCAGTACAAAACAAATAATCAAAGAAACTGAAGCTCTTCTGAGTTGGTTATAAAGCTCTATTCTTGATTCCATTTATGCTAATAAAAGGGACAGCAAAATGATCATGGTTCAAAAGTATACAATCTCATGGCATATCCTCTCCTGTACATATCATTTTGGACAATAAACTGAGATCCTAGATTTTGGAACCTTTCTAAGCTGGTAATGTGTCTGTTAGAGCTATTGAAGAATACATTTCGACTCGAGTGTTGCGTTTTGTGAACACAAACTGTTGCCTCTCCAACAGTTGAGGCTTTTAGATGAAATTGTACAACGTTGTATCAGAATTTCAGAACCAGCAAACTGAAAACTTGATGATTGCAACCTTCTCTTTGAGGTGAATATTGTGAACTGTCAAACTATGTCCTCTCTTTGTGCTTTAGTGAAAGCTCAAGTAAGAAATACATTACACCCAGCCCGACTGGATTGGAGTTTTCGTAGAAATATGTTTATGAGATAAAAGGGTAATTAGAAAATCTATCAAGAGAATATTCCAAAAAAACAATTTTCCTGGATAACTCGAAATCAAACGGGCTCCATGTCTGTTTTCTAGAAATGGAAACTTCTGCAATTAACTTTTAACTTGGATAAATGAAGAGAAAGACTAGGAATTTCTTCCAATAACTGCTTGGCAGTAGAAAACCTTTGCTGCAAGAAGAAAAGGTTTTGCATTGTATCCGAGAAATGAATAAAATACATATAACAACTGTGACTTCTGAAAGAAAGAGTCTTCAGATTCTTGCCAAATACATACCTTATGCGATCAGTGTATTGGGATAGGTCATCCTCCTTGATTTTCAGCACCGGCAGACCAGAAAGATCACATGCTAATGGGCTCGTATTAAAGAACTGTAAACATGAAAGGAGCAAACCTAAGCAACAAGTATAAACGTTCACACTACGATAAAGTGTTGAATACTTGAATAAATGTTCATATGGTGAGAAAGCATTTCTGATGCATTATTTGCAATCAAAGGTGGAGATTATGCCTCTACGTCGCGAACTTAACCAAGTTCATCAGTTATATTTATACTTTTCACTGGGTTTTGACAGGTAAGCAAACAATTTTTGGGTCTGAAATTCAAGTTCCAGCATCTTCAAGTAGGCAATTTTTTTTTTTTTTATCATTCATGAGGATAGGCTACTGCAACATAAAGTTTTAGAGCGTGGCCATGACTTTTCAATGATGACAGTTCCGGTAACTAGTAAATTAGATAGAAATATATCCTCCATCATCTAGACAAGCATGATATCTTGTTTGCCAGCTAAAATCAGTATTCAGCATCCATAGTTAAGATGCAGAACATGGCTATCATTCTACAAAACAGAATGTGACAACTCACTTCACTTTCAAGAGCTCTAGTAGCAGTTCCACGATATGCTGGATCAAGAGACAGAAGTGTAGCCAAAAGATCTGTCGCCGAATCAGGTAAATTTGGAAAGGATTCCCGGAAACAAGGTTTATAATGTGGAGGTGGTCTGAAGGTTGTTGGTGGCTTGACTTTCTTCCAATAGTCCTCTGGAGGTGAACCACACAGCTTGAAGATCTTGTGAAGCTGCTCAATCTGAACCTCAGTAAAGATAAATAGATTGTAAAGGTTAATAATACGCAACCTAGAAAGTAAAATAACTGGACCCTTTACTTTCTGCTACTAAGCAGTGTAAGCCGGTTCATTGTTCCAAAATATGTTTGTTGGAAAGGATTGAAAACAACACATTTTGGTCTTGAAATTTGCTTTTGATTCGGGCAGTTACAAGCCTGTTTAACAACCAAGAGTAGGCAAATAGTCCCTTGCAAATTTTGCTTGGTGTGTTTGATCAGCTGTCGAAATTTATAGAGTGTTGACTTGAGTTGTCCTCTGAGTTCAAGGATTTATGCAGAAGTTTACCTCATTTCTGCCGGGCATGATAGGCCTTCCTTCAAACATCTCCCCTAGAAGACATCCGGCACTCCAAAGATCAATGCCAACTCCATAATCAGTAGAACCTAGAAGAAGTTCTGGAGCTCTATACCATAACGTGACAACTCGGCTTGTTAGGGGCCGCTTTGGTTTAGGCTGATAGAAGTTAGCAAGGCCAAAATCTGCGATTTTGAGCATTCCATTTTTATCAATCAGCAAGTTAGATGCTTTAATGTCCCTATGCAGAATTCCTCTCTCATGGCAATGCTGTAGACCTGAGAGCAGCTGCTGCATGTAACTCTTCACCTGCATCAAGAAATATTTAAGTGCCAAATTTCGCGAATAAGATACTCTTAATTCTCTCAAGGAAGCATGACTATATCCCACTATCCCAGTCGTGCCACATGCTGTTTCTGTACTACAAACTTTTTGACGAGTAACACTCATTTATTCTTTCTGTAATACAAATTTTTTCAGAACCATGCCTTGTAAATTTTCTGAGTAATATACCGGGAGAACATTCACTCTCAATATTCAAGTTGTTTATATGGCTTCAAAAAGCTACCAGAAAAAAGTTTCTGATGATAACTTGAGTTGCTAAATGCAGATTATCTGACCTGTGGCTCAGTAAGCCTGCCTTCCGGACGAGATATGATTCTGGTCAAGTCTGACAGCATGAAATCAAAGACCAAATAGAGACTATACTGCATCCTTGAAGTGGCCAATCCTTCAAGCTTAATAACGTTAGGATGATCAAGCTTCCTTAGTATGATGATTTCTCTTGCCATAAACTTGACACTTTCTGGTTCTGATGTATTGAAACGGATCTTCTTTAGGGCAACTATTTTTCCAGTGTCCCTATCTAGAGCTTTATACACGTTGCTATATGTTCCTTGGCCTACCTGCATAGACCAAATAACAGAAAAACATTTATTCATGATCTTTTCTGCTCCTTCATAGCAATATGTAAACAGCCATATCCATCACCTTCAAAGGTGATTGTGTAGATATGAACAGACGTTGTACTGTAGTACAATTTGTTTCTCTTAGAAAATCTAGCCGGAAGAAATATAAACTAAAAATATAACAACACTCAAATGTCTAGGAACTGGAAAGTAATACAGTAATACCATTTTACTTGAAGAGGACAAAAGTCAGCAACTTTACATGTAAAAGACAGCACTGCACGATATATGAAACTTATATTGAAGAACAGCACCATTTTAGTGTTCTCATTTTGATCTTCTTTTGCTAAACCTTTTAGTCTTGATTCTTGAACAAATGAAACTCAGCTTGTATATTTTATTTTTCTCTGCTATACTGACCTTTGCAAGTTTATCATAAGAATCAGCACTCTTTGGAACCAAGCCAGCAAGAGCATCTCTAGGAATGTTATCAACAAGCCATTTAGGCCATCCTTCAACGAAATCATCCCCAGCAATCTGCTTAATACTAATCCTCCGCGAAACATTCCCACCATGATCACCTTCTTTCTCACCTTCTCTGCTGATTTTTCTATCTTCTCCACTTCCATTAATCCCAACAGCCACATTCTTAACATTATCTTGAGGCCTTGAATCCCTCTTCAAATCCTTAATATGCACTACTTTTGAACCAACAACAATAACTTTTTGTTCGCCACTATGGCCACCTCTAACATATAAATTTTCGTTCTTCAACCTGTCTAGATTCCTAGTAGGTGTGAATGATCCACCTTTGGCCTGAACGCATCCCATGATCACTTCACCGCGGCGAGTCTCCGAGTCTTCTTAGACTTTTTCTGAGTATCTAAGTGACGATAATGACTAGGAAATGTTGTTGTATTACAGGAACCATAAGTGCTGATCATCGTAACTATGACATTCTTCGGGCATTTTGATCAAAACAAAGTGTCTGAAAAAGAATTTACGAGATGAAAATGACAGGTGATGTCCTTGTCACTTTGGCCGGCTACTGTGATATACATGCTAGAATTAGAGCCAGTGATGGCCTCTGCTTTCTCCGTCGCAAGAAAGAACCAAGGTTGGAAACAATACGTAGACATTACCAATGAATATTGGACCATTATTTCAAGGAATTTCGTCGTCTCTAGTTAAGAAATTTCAACTTCAAACTTTTTGAAAGTTCTTTTGCTCCAATTTTCTCCTTTCATCGCTAGTTTTAAGTAGTTTTCAGTGTATAAATTAGCAAAATCTTGAATAATTCTTCTTAGAGCCACTGCCCATTAAGAGAAAAATTATTTTGTTAATCCCTACCAGTAGTAGCACGCTTTGAGCTAATAACCAAAAACATATTCCCCCATTTAACAATTTAATCTAAATTGATTGAATAGTTCAAAAATCATAAGTGAAATGACTATTCAATTAAGCCAAACAGAAGAATAAGAAAAAAGAATACAAAAACAATGATCAGAAAGTTATAATGGATACTGCGTATTCTCGACCCTCATACAACACCAAATTGTTCGGCCAAGTATCAGATATTTATCAGCAACTTTAATTGCTTAACTGTAACTCTGACCACCAGGCAGTCACAACTCACAAGAAAAATCTCTTTGCTCTAATTTTTAAAAATGTGGTGAAGACACCAAAATTCACATACCATTAACTAATCTATACCTGAAATCCCAATTTGGGGATTTCCTAATTTGTATATGATCCAAAGCAAGATGTAATTCTTGCCATGGTCAATTTGCAAATTTTCCTTGCAACTATCATTCCTCCTACACAACGAACCAAATCTGTCTTTGCAATACTACCAGGTAAGGAAACACAAATTTCTCAGTTTCTAGAACTTTTTCCTCAAGTGGTTTCAAGTTGATTTGCTTTCTTTCACCACAGAAATTTGAGAGCTACCAAACAAATCCGCTGAGACTAAGACCGTCTCCACCAGTAGTAACCTGCAGTGCAGTGGGTAGACTCGGATCAAAGGGTCCCATGAACTCGTTCTGCGAATGCCATCGTGATAAAGAATGTCAACTATTTGCCTAATTTGATTAATGACATGACCCAGAGAGAGCACCATGAAAAATGTTTGATTTACATACGCATTTATTTGCTCTTAGCCCAAGGCTGCTGGCTTCATCAGACGCTCCTTGACGATGAGGCAAAACTTTAGTCATCAGTTTCTGGTCAGCAGGATCATTTGCAAGCTTGGCTTGGTTCGTCGAGCTACAAGATCAGCAACAGAAAAGTCTCTTAACAAGTGCCAGCCAGCTGACCAAAAATCATCAGCTCCAGATGTTATACAACAGATTTAATCTACTATTAGATGGTTCCGTAAGTTAATATAACCTCCTCGACCAAGAAGACAATTTTCATGAATTAGTGAATCAAGAATGAGAAACAGCATCATGTCAGGCAGAGTGCTAGAAGATTGATAGAAACTAAAAAAACTTGCGTTATTGAAATAGCATATTTCTAAGTTATAGACACAATATGCACCAGCTCATTAAACCGCACAAAAAATGTGGTGCTTCAGGTACAACACTGAAGTTGACTTCTGAAGCCTAGGAATAACATTCAGCTCATTAAACTATGTTATTGAAATAGCATATTACAAAGTCATAGATACAATGTGCACCAGCTCATTAAACTGCACAAAAAATGTGGTGCTTCAGGTACAACGCTATAGTTGACTTCTGAATCCTAGGAATAACATTCAGCAAGCTGACAAATATAGCCCAGTAATTGCTGACAAATCTCCTTCAAACACAAGGACCAAGCACTATTCTATAAGGGGCTAATCTAAAAATAGATAGACCATGATATTAACGAAACTGACCATATAAAAAAAAATCCCAAGCTTACTAAGACTTGTTCAATTCATAAAATGAAACCCCAAGCTCTGGTGACAATTTCTTCCCACAAGAATAGCAAAGAGACCTCACTCTAGATCATCGAATCACTTCACATCATTTTTATAAGTAGTACATATACTTCAATTAAGATCATTTTGGAATGTAATTGCTAGTTTCAAACAGTGCTTCAACTAAATTTTGCAAGTCATCAATTTCAAACAAGCTATCAAAAATGAAGCCAAGAAGTTTGCTTGCAAAGGTATACTAACTTGGAAGCCAGTGCAGATGATTTAGTACATCCATTGGCTCAACTTCCAGATTAGATATGAACAAAGAATGCTGTAAATCAACTTGTACCTTTGGCTCAAAAATCATCTTTGACACACAAAATATAACCTTGACATCTATTAGTATAAACCAACTGTTCCCAATGTTTACAGCAGTCAAGCTATAGCAAGATTCAACAAACCTCATTTGTATGAGGCGGTGTGGATGTCTTTGATTTGAAGGCATTGCAGGATCCCGTAGATTTGTCTCCTCCATCAGAAGTCATAGATTTTTTTCTTGATGAAGAGAGATTTTCAAAGGAAAAGGCATGGCATGTCTCTTCAGCATCCAAGATAGAAGAGAATGAGTCAGGTACAAGTGACTTAGGCGCTGGAGGATGTAAATTAAGTTGTGAGGCAGCAAAAGGTTCAGATGAATTTAAGGTAACGCTTGATGCAGCCTCTTTTGACTTTGGGTTGCAACAACTAAAGTACCGTTGTAAGGATGCTTCAGAGAGCAAGCCTCCAATACTCAAGGATATCATACTATCATCCCATGGAAATAAAAATTGTGAAGCTCCATTCTCCATAGTTGGCTTCGGTCCTGGCCTGCTGGATGCTGCATCAAAGGCATTAATCTTGCCTTGCAAGGATTCTTCAGACTGTAAGCCACCAATAACTATTTCTGAAGCTGAGTAAACAGGCTGAAATCCTTTTTCATTTTCTGCCTTCAAATCAGGGTTCTCAACATTGCATTGATAGGACACCCCAGACATCAAGTCCCTTCTACATGAATCAGACACTGGCTGAGTTAGCTGGAAGCTTAAAGACTTGCATGATCTCTGTTCATGATTATTGATCTTGTCCAGCAAAGATGCCTCAGACAGCAAAGCTCCTATGCTTATATCAGAAACTAACTCAATAGGCTGCAAGTTGGATTTGTTGTCTGATCCTTCAGTGGGATTATTTATCTTATTTAGCAAAGAAGCTTCAGATAGCAAACCTCCTATGCTCAAGCTAGTGAAGCTGTCATCCCATGATACTGCTGGGGGTAGAGGAACATCATTGACGACCTAAAATAATATGCAGCCAGTTTGATAAAGAAAACCAATTGCAAATTCATTTTAAACAACATACTGGAGCCAAATATGCCAGCCCCTTAGGCAAGTATTTGCCAAAAAAATGGTTGCAGTTCATTATATTTAAAAAATAACAGTCGTGTGCTCCAAAAAAAACCTACTCATAGACTCTCAAAGTTTATGTTGGGCAGTCAACCCTTAATTCTGTCCAATTCCATGTGCCATAACAACCACAACAACCATGTGCAACTAGAGGATCCAAATTTGTAATATTGCTACTTTAGTTACTCTATCAATGTGATCCCTTCAATAGGTTTCCATTAAAGTCCACTAAAAATGTTACACTACAATACGTTTCTTATTGTGCTACTATGTAACACTATAATCATGCCTAATTTGGAAGCTAAGTTAACAACAATCTACAAATCAGATAATTGCAAACTGTTCAAACTTTAAAACGACAAGCATATTATGCCTCAAATGCCTCTGAACATCTCAAAATTGCTCTGACGAGAAGTCACATAAATTTCTATTGCCTGAATAAAACTTCTACTCATCTAATACACATCAGTCTTGCAAAAGGGCTTAACAAATTGATTATGGATTTATAAATCAAATTGTTTATGAATAATATAAATCACCTTAACAATTCAAAATTGTGGCAGCAAGATTTTTTGGTGAAATCAAATGCAAAATCCTTTTGAAACCTTTTGTAACAATGAACGGTCAAAACTTAAGCACTCAATCTTGTAATTCATAGGTGTAGCACAAAAGGCCAAAACTGGGAAGTCACTAATGATTTGAAAGCGAGTAGATATTCACTTGAAATGCTTTGGCATGTGTTAGATTAAAATCAAACCTAGACAGCAAAACATAAAAAAATTACCACATGGTCAACAGATAACAAAGTTGGCATCTGCTTAGTTCTGGCTACATCCTCCTCTTCATGCATGTTGATTGGGCTTTGGATCCCTTGACTTGCAGCAGTAATAGTTTTCCTTTGATCATGTGTCATCCTTGAAAACAAACTGCAGTCGTTCTGACTATGCTTGGATTCTGACTGCTCCTCCGTAGCTGTAGATGTAAGAGAAACCCCACAAGCCTCCACATGAAGATTAGTGAACCATCCATACCTTTATAACAAGATAGAATCATAACGTAATACAGCAAATTAGAAGCACATGCTAGATGGAATAGTTAGTCCACATACTTTAAGCGAAAAATTGAAGGAGTTTCTAGAGCCTCATGCAGCTCTCCAGCGGTAAAGCTACCACAATCTGAAGTCCAGCTTCTGGATGAAGCAATGTTTTCCAATCTTACATCATAGGGAAAAAGCATAAGCTCTCCAAGCGCTGCACTAGAACAGCCCCACTTGGTATTAAGGTGCTTAATCACAGATGAAACTTTCTTCTGAACACTTAGAGTGAGTTCCAAGAATGGATTATGACCATCCTAAAAAAGTCAAATGAACACAGTGTCACTTTGAATATCCTGAATTTCATTCAAAAATCCAACTCGTTCATGATCACAGTAACAATTTCACCTTCTCCAACTTCAACCGAGTCATTGAATTTACTGGAAAGAGCTGCAATTTAATCTTTGAAGAAGTCAATCTGTCTCCCTTCTGAACCTTGACGTTTTGAACCTTCGCTGTTTCCTTATTAGATGGGTTAGTAACTTTAGTTGTTTCACCAGGTGAATGAGCAGTTGTTGAAGGTTTCTCCTTTAGGTCATTTTTGGGCAACAAAAGTTTACACTCCCCTGAAAACAAGAAGGTCGAAGACATGAAAAATTAGTGCCGTGTAAACAGACATCCGGCTCTAATTGAGTTCCTTGTATATCTTTCCCCTCATGCAACCTTTTTTTTTTCTAACGATACCATTTGAAAGTGAGTTCGGGGGTATTCAAACAATAACAACCAAAAAAGTGGAACGGGCAGAATAAGTCATCTAGAAATCCCTAAGCAACCAATTAGCGAACACCCAAATGTAATTTCCATAAATGATAAAACATTTAAATTGGACACTCATAATGAACCAAACTAGCCAAAAAAAAAACACAAAAGGAAAGCAATGCTGCAGCTGTATCTTACCAAAAAAAAAAAAGAAGAAGAAGAAAGAATTAATGGATAACAATAAGAATGGGTCCCGAAGAAGATACAATTAGGAGTAAAATCTTAAATCAGAAAAAGCTTTTTTTTTTCAAAGCTGCTTACCTGCTGGTTTCGGACGCCGTTTACAGCTTCCATTTGCAGATTTCTTCATTACCGCACCAATACTTTTCCGATTCTCTTCAGAAACCTCTCCTACCTTTCTCTTCCGCTGACCTGAAGCTTTCATCTTGCCTCAACTTTCTTCTGCAAATTCCATCGCGTCACCAGAAGAACAAATTCAAATAAAATTTATCATTTCAAAACTACCAATTAACCCAAGAATTATTTACAAAAACGTCCACAGCAGATAAACTAGTTTAAATCAACCAGAAAAAAAACATTAAAAGCCCAAAAAAAAAAACACAAACGAGGGGAAAAAATCTAGGGTTTATGCGTTATAATTGGACATGCAGAACCGTACAAGTGAAATTCATCAAGACATCAACAATTGAAATCTGTCAGAAATTCGATTAAACTTCGATGAGTAAAATTCAAGGTAGAATTGAACTTTGAATTTGTCTGGTAAAATCGAGCGAGAGAGAGAGAGAGAGATTGAGAAATCGTGGCGGGAAGAATTTGGGGAAAGAGGAGAGAGAAAGAGCCGCCTTGAATTTTTTTAATTTGAATGTGAAGGCGAGCTGATCTGGCGTTTGGCATTTATAGGAGAAGAAAAAAATTATTTAAATGAGTTTCTCTCAAATCCAAATATCCAATGATATTTTGCCACGTTGGTTTATTGTTTCTAAATAAAGTTGGATCAAAAAATTTGGGGAAGCCCACCTGACTATGGATTTCGGGGCTCCCTTCTGTGTGCCCATTTCCGTGGTGTTTGATGTTGATTGGGCCAAATAATCATTTACTTGTGAGTTTTGAGAATGAGATTTGTCCAACTATTTGTGCTAGTGGCCGGTCCAAGGGACAATCAACAAATTTTGTGCTTTCTAAAAAAAAAAATTTTTGTGCTTTTAAGTTTTAATAGTACAAGCATTATTCTTGATGGGTAAATTTTTTATACACTATCAATGTATACACGTACGATATTGGATGTATGTCGCATATAGGATTGAAAGATATCAAAGTACTTGATACTCGAATTAAGTTGGATTTGGTAAGAACTCATTCGATCTTGATTCAACAACTAGTCAAGTTAAGATTAAAAGTGTGATATTTGATAACATTCAAATTCAATGAAAAAAAATTCATTCAAACTAGATTCAACAAATAAATAAATCCAGTTTAAACAAAATTTTAAACTCGTTAAAATAATCAAACAACCTTGAACATGTGGGTATTCGGTTTGAGTAAACCCATTTCCACCCCTAGCAGCATAATCTAATTTTAGATTTGAAATTTAGTTTTTACATAGATGGCATATATCAATAACTACAAATGTAAGCGAAAACTCTACATTAATAGTTTATAAAAACTTAATCCTTATTTTTTACTTTATTATTACTACAATTATCTTTTTTTTTTTAACAAAAGTCTAGGACCTATACTATCTTATTTTTAATGGAAAAGGACTTGATCAAACAATTTTTTTTTAAAAAAAAAGGGAAAATAGATGATTTTATGTAGAGGGATTAGTGATGTCTAAATTATAAAAGATCTAGGCCTGATTTGGGTTTGCAGTGCTTTTGAGTTAAAAAAGAAAAAACTTTTGGGTGTTAAAAGTATTTTTAAAGTGTTTGATAAACATCATATGATGAAATTAGAAATGGAGTTTTTTGTGTTAAATGCGCTTTTAGCAAAAGCTAAAATTTTGTGCTTTTAGGATAGTTTTTGTGTTTAAAAAAATACATTAAATTTAATCATTTTATCTTGTATTATGAACTAAATAAAGAGATAAATATATTTAAAATATATAAAATTATACATTATTCAATACAATAAATACTTACTTAACTATGTATCCAAATAATATAATTAAAAATACTTGAACACTTAATCAACCTTTAAATTTTTTGAACCGCAGATGGAAGAGTCTTAAATTTCATGTGATGGTCAATTTGGTATTGACTAGTTGGTTTATAAGCTTCATTCAAAAAACCCAAAAAAAAAAAGGAGTATGGTTTATAAGCAGTATTCAACACAAGTGCATTTATTCCTAGCATTTTTTCTTTACCCACTTCAATGTACAATCATCTTATATGAATAGAGGTTATTCACTACACTGCTCAAATGGGACTTCAAATGTTAGCGTATTGCAAATCGTAGTCATATCAAAGTTTGTTTGGATAACTTATTATTTCCAAAAAATTATTTGATTGCATCACAAGTAATAAAAAAAAAAAAAGATTGCATCACAAGTATATTTTTCAATCACCTTCTTATCTTTTTATTTCACATACATTATATTATAAAAAAGAGCTACATTGTCTTTCCAAAAGATTATCTCAAATAATCTCATATAAAAACACAACCAATGTTACTTGGTGATAATAAATTAAATTGAGTGTTTACAGGTACCCTATCCAATTAGAAAAATCCTACAGTCATAGATAAATGTTTACTACTAGAAAGGCTTAAGTTTTGGCATGGGATATTTGTTGAAAATTTACCCCCGAAAAAGAGATATGTACTAAAATAATTAAGTTCCATTTCAATCGAACCCATCTTAATATAGAGATCGACACTTAACCCAATTCGACATTTAAATTTAATAGATTTATATCTCATCGTGTGTCGTTTAATAGCAAAAAATTGAACATCTAAATTAATTAAGTGACACTGAATTTCATACGCAAAACTTGCTCCAAAAAATAAGTGATAATCTATTCACTTATTACTTAATGTGATATACATTCAAATGTTTCAAATTTAATTTAACTATTCAATAACTTAATGGATTCAGATTTTAGACTTAAAATTTCAGATTTCAAAATTCGGTTTTTTATCAAATGCACCCTCATGAGAAAAAAAAAATGAACCCTCATGGAGAAGTGTAAGATTTAGTACGTAACTTTGCATTCTTTCTCTTGCTTTCCTATTGGAAAATGCTAATTTCTTGCGTCTGATATTAATTCGTTACTTTTGCCCCAAAAAAAAAAAAGAGTACTTGGGAATATGGAGATATGAATGTGTACTGATTACGCGTAAACTTAACTTAGAAAAAGCAAGGTAGCAGACCAGATTCATCGCCACGTGTACATAAATTGCTCTAAAAGCAAGAATCCATAAAAGTAGCCTCCGATCTAGGAATTACTCTTACATCTACTAGATCTAGATCACGACCCGTTTGGCAAGCGAGTCTTTCACGTGTTTGTTTAAAATTTTACTGTAATTTATTGTAAAAGTTTTTGAATTTTTTTTTTGAATTTTTTGAGATTACTGTAGTTAAAATTTTTAAAAAACTTGTAGCAGATAAACTTGACAAAAAACTCAAGTGCCAAACAGAACAAATTCACTACCTAAACAAGAGAAATAGTAAAGTAATCACTTACTTCTTGAATTGCAATTTTAAAGTTTTGTTATGTAAAAAAAAAAAATTTATATCGAGCTCACTTCTTATTCTTGTCCTACATCTTCGTACCACATATTAGAATAACAATTTGTGCACCAATTTTTAGGTCGTACTTGTTAGAATATTCTTAAAAAAATTAAAGATAAAAAAAATAAGCAAGAAAGAAAGAGGGAGAGAGAGATCTAAAAGGTCCCCCCCCCCCCAATATATTACATACTACGATAGAGAGCATATGCCTTTGAATTGATTACCAAGCATCATGGGAAAATGATTATCCTGAAATTCTCAAACGTATTGCTCCCTTCCTGTCATTGAAATTGCTATACTTTCATTTTGGAATATTCTAAAATGTTTATTGTGTTAAGAAAGTCAAGGCATTTTTTAATCTTTTCTTCCAATATAGTCCATTCTTTAAAATCATATACATGTTACCATTCAAATTCAAAATTTGAATTTGTGGGAATAGGATTGAAAATAGAAGCACAAACATAACAATTAAATCACTATTTTTAAAATTTTGAATTTTCAAAAAATAAAAAAATAATTGAGACGGAGAAAGTATGTTTTTATAGGCCACCAATTTACAGGCCAAGCCAGTAGTCTATAAATCGATATTCTTCTGATATTCATGGATGGAGAGCTGGGAGTGCTTGGGACTTGTGGCTAAAGTTTAATAAATCCTACCTAAAAAAATATATTTAATGCATCCCAAAATCGTTTAGATTGCTATGTTTTACGGTATTTATAGAAAAATATACTATGGTGATTGAATATCTATGAGATAAAAGATGAGTAAAAAATGCGTGCATGGAAAATATAAAAAAAATTTAGAGAAAAATTGTAATTCAAATAAGGCCTTAGCTTCTTTTTTGTAATTTGCACAAATTTTTTTCTCTCTTTGTTTTCACGATTTTGGGAATGACGTACCATGTTCGGGCCAAATCATGTAGGACTAGCAAAATACTTGTTGCAGCAAGGGGAGGGGTGAGATTTAAAATGTAGGAATGAAGCAAAAAGATTATGATCAAGAATCTCTAATTTCTAGAACTTCAATTTTAATCAATAAACTGAGGCGTTCTTGACACCTATTATTATAGTAATAAAAACTAGTAATAGTATACGAGAAAGCTCCTTTCTCTTTTGAATTAATTTGCATATTATTGTGCTTAGGAGCCTTGTCCTTTTTCCTTTTCCAAAAAGAATACCGAAAGAGAAAAAGTCCATAATAATCCCAAACATCTTCGTTTATACGGATGGAATTAGAAAGTACCCAAAAAAGTGACAAATTGTTCTCACAAACGTAAGCTTGCTATTTTATTATTTTTTTTTTCGGAGACGATAAACCTATTCTATCCTACATTAAGGGGGAGGGGGCGGATCTAAAAAGGTCCAGGGGTAACTCAGAGAGAACTGAACCACCACCGGATCAGACGGATGCACAGCACACCCACCTAGATTTTTCAGAAACAAACCACTTAGATGTGACATTTTTTGGACGGGAGGCAAGGGTTCACCCCATCCACTTAGGTGGTGGCCTAGTGGTTTTGCTGTTTTTGTTATTAAACGGAGACTATTCAAGCGAAGTTGGCCCCAACTCCTTAGTCCCTGCTTTCATGAATACAACAAATGTTTCCATAATACTTCTTTTTTTTCGTCATTGTATATTATTGATCTTTATTAATTATAAGACTAGAGGAGGAGTGCCCGCGTATCACGCGGGTGTTTGGTGCCTGTAGTTAAAGAATGTTTTTTGGTTGGACAAATAATAATACATTGCGAGAATAATACGTTGCAATAAATAATTAGAAACATGTATTGTTATAAGACAAACAACATAAGAGTCTTCCAATATTAGAATCAGGAAGTTCCCGAACACAAATAATTAGATGCAGCAAGTTTCCAAAGGTGTACGGGCAAATATTTATGAAATTATTTCAGGTAATAACTACGAGATAGATAGCAGAGTATGTTAAATAAGATATCATGTATGTCTACTTATTTAGTGATACGAATAGTAGTAAACTCATGTAGATACTGTAATAGACAGCAGTCAGATGCATTGCTTCTTGGTGGTTTCTTCATTTTGGTCCTAACTTCAGCATCTACATGATGAGTGTAGAGCATACATGATTGAGGGCCCTCCGCAAC